TAATGTATAATATTTTATTTTGGAAACTACTTGATAGAGTTAGTTGTTAATTGTTTGTCAGTTTTCTTAATAAGTCCTAGTATTTAGGATGACCTATTCTTTAGGAGTTTAGTTAGTGTTTTGATTATTTCCACTATATTATAGGGTTGTTAGATGCAGTTGCTATTTATTCTCTCAGTCACGTTGTATTGAAGATATATAGCCCCAGTTTGCTATCATTTAATAATATCTCCTTTCCAATTGCTATAACAGTTTCTGAGTTTTAACAATTGGTATCAGAGCTGTAAAGGGCCTGGTTGTGTGAAAAGGTGTGAGTGAAACAGAAAGAGAGAGAGAGAGAGAGAGAGAGAGAGAGAGAGAGAGAGAGAGAGAGAGAGAGAGAGAGAGAGAGAGCAGAATGTCAACATCAGAGAGGTTTCTACAACCCTTCATCCTAAAATTCGATGGTCATTACGATTTTTGGGCGATGACGATGGAGAACTTTCTGAGAAGTAAGGAGATGTGGAGTCTGGTGGAGGAAGGAATATCAGCACCGGTAATTGGGACGTCGTTAGCAAATGCGGCACAGAGGAAGATGGTGGAGGAAGCCAAACTCAAAGATTTGGAGGTCAAAGGCTATCTATTCCAGGCAATAGATAGACAAATTCTAGAGACAAATCTCGACAAAGGGACGTCGAAGGCAATCTGGAATTCAATGAAGCAAAAGTATCAAGGATCCACTAAGGTGAAAAGGGCTCAACTTCAGGCACTAAGAAGAGAGTTTGAACTTCTCGCCATGAAAGAAGGAGAAAAGGTAGACAGTTACCTGGGTCGAACCTTGTCTATAGTAAACAAAATGAAGTTGAATGGCGAGACAGTAGAGCAGAGTACAGTGGTCAGTAAGGTACTTAGATCTTTGACTCCTGAATTCAATTATGTTATTTGTTCAATAGAGGAGTCAAATGATTTAAGTACGTTAAGCATCGACGAATTGCACGGGAGCCTGTTGGTTCAAGAACATAGGATGCATGGCTATCATGAGGAGGAACATCTGTTAAAAGTGGCTCATCAAGACAGAGTAGGCAGGGGAAGAGGTCGAGGCGCATTCAAAGGAGGACGTGGTAGAGGTAGAGGAAGACAACCTCTAAGCAAAGCAACCATTGAGTGTTTCAAATGTCATAAGTTGGGACACTTTCAATATGAATGTCCTGATTGGGAAAAGAAAGCAAATTATGTCGAGTTAGAAGAAGAAGAGGAGCTTTTGTTGATGTCATATGTAGAGCATCATGAAACAAAGAGGGACAAGGTGTGGTTCCTCGACTCAGAATGCAGTAATCACATGATTGGGAATAAAGAATGGTTCCTTGATCTGGAAGAAGAGTTTAGCTGAACATTAAAACTCGGGAATGACACAACAATGACGGTGGTTGGAAAAGGAAGCATAAGAGTGGAAGTGAATGGCATAACCCAAGTGATTTCTGATGTTTACTATATTCCTGAGCTTAAAAACAATTTATTAAGCTTGAGACAACTTCAAAAGAAGGGAATAGCAATCTTGATTCAAAATGGGACTTGCAAAGTGTTTCACCCTAAGAGAGGTTTGATTATGAAAAGTGATATGAGTGGAAACAAAATGTTCTTTGTGTTAGCCTCCATGGAAACAAAGAGCTCTATGTGCTTAAAGACTGGAGGAGTGGCTGAAAAAGAAGCTCACATGTGGCACTGCCAGTTTGGGCACTTGAATCACAAGGGATTGAGAATGTTGTCTATCAACAAGATGGTAATTGGTTTACCTTTGCTGAAAAATCCAGAGAAGATATGCACCACATGTTTGTCTGACAAGCAACATAGAGAGCCCATACCCAAGAAAAGCTTATGGAGGGCATCAAAATCGCTTCAGCTAATCCATTCAGATATATGTGGTCCTATCACGCCAACTTCTAGCAGTAACAAGAGGTACATTTTAAGTTTTATCGATGACTTTACTCGTAAAACTTTGGTCTATTTCTTGCATGAAAAATCATAAGCTTTTGTCACATTCAAAAACTTCAATGCTTGTGTTGAAAAGGAGACAGACGCATACATAATATGTTTGAGGACAGACAGGGGTGGTGAGTTCAACTCAAATGAGTTTGAAGAATTTTGTCGATCACAAGGCATCAGTATGCAATTGACAGCAGCATATACCCCCCAGCAGAACGGCGTTGCCAAGAGGAAGAACAGGACAATTATGAATGTTGTCCGATCCATGCTAAGTGAGAAAAAAGTTCCCAAAACTTTCTGGCCGGATGTTGTGCGATGGTGTGTGCATATTCAAAATCAATGTCCAACAACACCAGTTCAGAATACAACATCGGAAAAGGCATGGAGTGGTAAGAAACCAGTGGTGGGGTATTTTTGAATCTTCGGTTGTGTAGCACATGTCCATATGCTAGATCAAAAAAGGAGCAAGTTGGATGATAAGAGCAAAAAATGTATTTTTTTTAGGTGTCAGTGAAGAATCAAAAGCTTGGAGATTATGTATCCGGTTTCGAAGAAAATCATCATCAGCAGAGATGTAATTTTTGAAGAAGAAAGCTGGGATTGGGGAAGAACACACAAGGAGATCAATGGGGATATATTAGAATATGGTGATGGTATCATTGAAGATGAAAGTGATGATCAGATTGAAGAAGAAAATGGTGAAACAAGAAATTCAAGCAGCAACTCAAATGAGGAAAATCCAAGTACACCTGAAGTGTTTGACGCAACTGGAGAATCAGTTGAAGGGAGGGGAGCACGAGAAAGAAGAGCACCAGGTTGGATGGAAGCTTATGAAACAGGGGAAGGACTTTCAGAGGAAGAGAATCTCAATGTAATGTTGGCAGTCACTGATCCTGTTACATTTGAAGAAGCATATAAAAGCAAGAAATGAAGGGAGGCAATGTCAGCAGAAGTTGAGGCCATAGAAAAGAATCATACTTGGGAGCTTACAGTATTGCCTAAAGGAGTCAAGCCTATCGGAGTTAAGTGGGTGTTCAAGACTAAGCGTAATGAAGTTGGAGCAATAGAGAAATTCAAAGCAAGATTGGTTGCAAAAGGGTATGCACAACGTCACGGAATAGGTTACACTGAAGTATTTGCTCCAGTGGCGAGGCTTGACACCATTCGTGTGATGCTTTCAATGGTTGCTCAGTTCAGTTGGGAGGTCTTTCAACTCGATGTAAAGAGTGTCTTTCTTAATGGTGAACTCAAGGAGGAAGTGCTTGTGCAGCAGCCAGAGGGATTCATTAAAAAGGGAGAAGAAGAGAAAGTCTACAAGTTGAGGAGAGCACTTTACGGACTAAAACAGGCACTGCGGGCGTGGTATAGCAGAATTGAAGTCTACTTTGTACATGAAGGGTTTGAAAGATGTCCAAATGAGCACACCTTGTTCACCAAGATAAAAGGAGGTAAAATTTTGAAAGTTATCCTATATGTTGATGATTTGATTTTTACCGGGAATGATAGAAGCATGTGTGACGAGTTTAAAGCTTCAATGATGTCAGAATTTGATATGTCTAATTTTGGAAAAATGAAATATTTCTTGGGGATAGAAGTCAAACAGTGTTCAAATGGAATATTCATATGCCAGAGAAGGTATGCATGGGAAGTATTAGCAAACTTTTGTATGGAAAATAGCAATGCAGTCAAGAACCCAATAGTGTCAGGTACAAAGATGTACAAAGATGAGGATGGAGTTGGAGTTGATGAAACTCTATACAAGCAAATGGTTGGAAGCCTCATGTATTTGACTGCGACTAGGCCTTACTTAATGTATGGTGTTAGCTTGATAAGCAGGTTCATGACAAGTCCTACTATGTCACATTGGCTCGCAGCAAAGAGAATTCTGAGGTACTTAAATGGTACAGCAGATCATGGAATTTTCTACAAAAAGGGGGATAGCAGCTTGAAACTTTTGGCATTTATGGATAGTGATTATGCCAGTGACTTGGATGATCGAAGAAGTACATCTGAATTCGTATTTATGTTGGAAGCTGGAGCTGTTTCATGGTCATCAAAGAAACAACCAGTGGTTGCTCTGTCTACTACAGAGGCAGAATATATAGCTGCGACGATGTGCGGTTGTCAGTGCGTTTGGCTCAGGAGGATATTGGAGAAACTTGGAATTAAAGAGAAGACTAGTACGATGATCATGTGTAATAACAGCTCCACCATACAGTTATCGAAGAAATCGGTGTTTCATGGCAACAGTAAGCACATTGATGTAAGATTTCACTTCCTTAGAGACTTGGTGAATTGAGTCATTAAACTGAGCTACTGCAACACTCAAGAACAAATTGTCGATATTATGACAAAGCCACTGAAATTAGAGCAGTTTGAGAAGCTTCGCAACATGCTTAGAGTGACTGAAGTTACAGTAGAAAGTTAAGATGCATTAGTTTAAGGTAGGGAATGATAGAGTTAGTTGTTAATTGTTTGTCAGTTTGCTTAATAAATCCTAGTATTTAGGAGGACCTATTCTTTAGGAGTTTAGTTAGTGTTTTGATTATTTCCACTGCATTATAGGGCTGTTAGATACAATTGTTATTTATTCTCTCAATCACGTTGTATTGAAGATATATAACCTCAGTTTATTATCATTTAATAATATCTCCTTTCCAATTGCTATAACAGTTTGAGTTTTAACACTACTTAAAATCTATTTATTTTATGAATCAAACAATCCAATTTTTACAATTTTATGAAGTATGTTATAAATTTGATCTCCCTAAATCAAAAAAGTTATGAAAATAAACGTGCTTGAAAGTTACTCCATAACCATCACATTAAATTTTCAGGGGTGAATTGCGTCTAAAGTCCACTAATTTTACGAACCTACACATTTTGCATTGTTAGCGTAGATCAATGAACGATGTCACAATCACATGAAGGCTACATTCCTCCTTCCACAGATGGCCGGTGCCTTACGTTTTCTACATACCTTCTTGGTCATAGCCAATAAATAAGAAACAGAGCATCTCTTGTATTCACAAACAACAATGGCTACAATGTTCTGGGTTCTTACTTTACTAAGCCTCAGCTGCCTGCTAGGATTCAACGCCCAAGCACCAGCAACTGCACCATCAAAGTTGCCACCTACAACCCCAACAGCAACTCCATCAAAGTTGCCACCTATAAGCCCAACAGCAACACCACCTACTGTGGTGGCATCTCCCCCCATCTCAACCCAACCCCCTGCAAATGTGGCACCTAAATCTGCTCCGGTGACGTCACCAGCTCCAAAGGTTTCACCAGCATCAAGTCCAATAGTCCCTCCACACCAACCACCAAAAACTTCACCTGTCTCAACTCCCACGTTGCCACCACCATTACCGCCATCACCAAATATATCACCAGCACCAGTTCAAACACCACCTGCCCCCACACCAGTAAAGGCAACACCAGCACCTGCACCCACAAAGCAAGCTCCGACTCCTACACCGATTAATTCACCACCAATACCGGCGCCAACACCTGCAATAAATGCCCCTGCACCAGCACCAGAGTCCCCCAAGCACAAGAAAGGAAGGCACAGACACAAGCACAGAAGACATCATGCACCAGCGCCAGCACCAACAACTATTCACAAGAGTCCCCCTGCACCACCAACTGATAGTAAAGCAGATGTCGACACAACACCGGCACCAGCACCTAGTCTTAATTTGGTAATATCTCAAACTATTATAATATCAAGTTACAATTATATAAATATATAAACCGGTGATATAGCTAGTTAGATTAAACATAAGCCACATCTTTTACTAACACATATCATCAACATCACATTGTTCTGATCACATCCTATGTTTTCTACTTCACAGAATGGTGCACCATCACACTATCATCAAGGGAGAAATATATGGGCAACAGCTGGATTTGCTATCACTGTTTTTCTAGCAGTAACTGTCTACAGCTGCTAGCAGGCGCATAGTACTATGGATTCATTCTAAGAAGTTACTTTATTTGCGGAATTTAAAATCATTTAGGTGTAGAGATCTGAATAATGAGTGTCAGGACTCTTACTATTCTTTCTTTTTATGTTTGCTCGGGGACATTAATGAATATAAATTTTTTAATTATCAAAATAATCAGGAAATGTCACAAAAATGTCTAGTTATGAACTACACATCATATTTGATCAACTTCTGAGTCTCTGTTCTTTTCCTCCCGAAAATCATACTCCGTGATTAGTCCAAGATTGTCAACTAATTTGTGATGTCGTTGACAGCCTGCACACTAATAAGACGAGTTTCTAATTACTTACAATAGAAAAAGTGATATAATAACAGCAATTATGCATATATGTTTTTAAAGAACAATAGAATGAATAAGGTATCTAAAAAGCACTTTGGCAAAAAAAATATAAAACAAAAGTACTGAAATGGATGCAATATAAACGACACAAACACACTTTCATACTTAATCCAAAAGTCATTCCATGCATTATTGAACTTCAGGAGAAAGACAATGAAAATTAATGAATAGAAAAATGTTAATAATATATAAGTACAACAACAGCATAAGAAATGTTTTATATCTAGCCAGTTAAAGTAAATGTTGGAAATTTCGCTTTTATTTATTTATTTATTGCGGTCCACCCCTATCTAATTGTGGCATTTGGGATCATTAGTTGCAACCTCTAACACACTCTAACACATTCAACGTGTTGGATGTGAATGGGTGAATTTAATCTTACATTGTTTAGAGATATGATGTGTAGTGATTATCAAGTTTGGAAAACTTTCGTCTTAGAAGTCGGTTTTGTAAAATTGAGTTAGATCCAACTCAAATTTTAAGATGGATTGAGAGTTCCTGATCTTGTTTCATCAAAAAAACAATGTTCATACTGGACACACTATTCATTCTAGCGACACTATTCACGTGTAAATACAATTTATCCGTTTGTTTTTGGAGGGAAAAAAAAAAGACAAAAGCTTGTGGGTCTCCTTACTGTTGTTTGTTGGTCCTATTTTATTTTATTTTATTGAATAAGATAGAGTAACAAAGCAATCAATATATCAGAGGGATTATTGGTTCAAGTCAGCCAAGATGAAGTAGAAAGATTGAGATCATTCCTTAATTAAATTAGAGAAACCAATATGTATTTCTTCTCCAGTATATTCAAGTGTGTTTCTGTTTTCACTTCCTCTTGGTAAATCTCCATTTTTTTAAAAATTTAATGCTTCCGATAAACTCTATATAATATTGGATCTTTGATTTTAAACCACATGACACCCTTATCTACACACTTTTCTATTTATTCACCTTGTCCTAACAACAACAAAATATCCACAACATAGGGTATCCTTATAACTGTAACAAGTCAAGGAGATGTCCAAACAAGCCCGACAATAATCCTGCAAAATGTTCTTCATATTTCAAAATTGTCCACTAACTTAATTTTCATATAAAAACTCACAAAAAAGACCTATCTTATAATAGTATTTTTTATAACAATGCTTGTATTTTCTAGAACAAGAATTGTGGGAGGATGAATGAAAAATGCAAGAGAATGGAATGAATTTTATTACTTGGATAATCAAAATATATTTCCTAATATACTTTGCAACATTAACTTCATTTTTTAGAATCAATTAAGACCAATATGGAGAAGTCTTTTTGTACCACCGTCCTATTGGTCATCCTTCCTTTAGAGTCATTAAACAATTATTTCCTTTATTTTTTAAAATTTTAGATGTTGAAAGTCTTTGTTGAGGTATGTCACCTTGCTAAACACAAGAGTCTCTTTTCCAATCAATGATAAAATGAGTATTTCTCCCTTTTATTTAATTCATATTGATGTGTGGAGACCATCAAATATTTCAAACATATCATGTGTCTTTTGGTTTGTAACATTCATTGATGATTACACTCGAGTTATTTGGGTCAGTAAAAATTCAAAGTCAATTCTATGTTTCTCCACTTTTTCTTAATAGTTAAAAATCAGTTTGGATTGAGTATTAGAAGAATCAGGTTTGATGATGTCAAAGATCACTTTGATCACTTCTTAATTCTTTCTATAAGAAAGAAGGTATCACTCATGAGTCTTCTCTGTGTTAAAACACCCCTATAAAATGAGATTGTTGGGAGAAAAAATTGGCACTTATTAGACCAAACATGTGTTATGATATTTTAAAATAAAGTTCTTAAGATATATTGGGCGAGGTGGTATTAATTGCATCGTATCTTATTAATTGTTTACCTCATAACATCATTGTCTCTAAAACTCTCTTAGAATATTTTTGTGTACGTTATTCATCCACATCGGTGGTAAAGGGAAACTTGATCATATAGCCCTAAAATGTGCCTTTATAGGATATTCCTCCACTCAAAAGGGTTATAAATGTTATCATCTACCATCTCAAATTGTCTCTCGTGACGTCACCTTCCATGAGCAAAGAAATTATTTCATTCAAACTCATCTTCAAGTGGGGAATATAAGTAAGAAAGATGATTTTTCTGTATTAAACCAGACGTTGAGACTGAAACTTGTGATAACAATGTTGAGACTAAATTTGATTCTAAAAAAGATAAAAATGTTTAAATTGATATAAGATATGGGAAGAATTTAGTATATACAAGAAAGAAGATCAGTACTAAATCTACTCATATTCAAGAGTCCAATTCAACATTACATGAGGTAACTCCTTGATCCTTCAAGCTCTAGTGATTCAATTTTTGAATTTTCTAATAAACAGGAATCAGAATCCAACTCAATATCACCACTACACCGCAAAGATTTACATATTTAAATTGCCCTTAAGAAAGATACTATAACATATACCAAAAGGCAGTTTTACTCTCTATCCAACTACCTAATTATGAACATTTTTCACCTATCCATAAAGTCTTCACAAATCTAAACACTATAACAATACCTACCTCTGTATAGGAAGTACTGTTTAACAGGATAAGGAAACAAGCCATGAATTTGGAGATGTAGGCACTGGATAAGAACTATACTTGAGAATTGGTTTCTATACTAAATGGAAGAAACATATAAAAAATCTTTATATGAACTAAAACAATCACCACAAACACGGTTTGAAAGATTCTCTAAAACTATGGTAGATTTAAGCTTCAAACAAAGTCAGGGACATTAATACCCTATCTATCAAACAATTTGAGACAGGGAGAGTAACGTTGTTATTAGTGTATGCGAATGACATTATAGTTATAGGCGATGAGGAGAGGCAACAATTGGTGGGCAAACACTTAGCCAAGGAATTTGAGATTAAGACCTTGGAAAAATTTACTTTCTAAAAATAAAGTTGCACACTAAGAAATGAATCTTTATATCTCAACAGATATACATTATTGGTCTTTTTCAAGAGACTGACAAGACAACATGCAAGTACACCAACTGATTCAAGTGTAAAGTTGGAAAACACTGAAGAAAATACTTTGATTGATAAGGAAATGTATCAAAGGTTTGTTGGAAAACTTATATACCTCTCACATTGGAGTGAGAATAGGTTAGACCAGCTAACACTACAACCAAGCCTACACAAACCTAAGAGTAGAAAAGAATGAGAGGAGAATAATTCCTTGATGTATTTGAAAATGTACAGGGGATTTCTCTCTTAAATAGAGAAGAATTAGAATCCTAAATTAATTGCGTAGATCCTAACATAATTACAGGTTATTGACAATAGTTGACTACCTAATAATATAATAACTGGAAGAAAAAAATAATATAAATGCTATAATATTCTAATTAATATTTTGATTCTGCAACACTCCCCCTCAAGCTAGCTTGAAAATGTCTTATGTTGGAATAATATAGCAAGTGTGAGTAAGTGGAGAAATAATCTCACATTGAATAGGAATGTGGAGACTTAAGCATATATAAGTGGGAGAACGCATTCACCTATCACCTTAAGGTTTTAGGTGGATAAGTGGTGTGTCTCTCACAAAGGTGCCTAATCCTACAATATGTATCAATGCTCCTAGTAACTCCCCCCAACAGTGGTATCAGAGCCTTTGGTTCGAGAAAGGGACCGGAAGAGACTTGTATCGAAATGCGTCTAGGAAGTGATGTTCCGTTGTATATATATAGTGTTAAGAATATTTGTATGTAGAATAGTCTCACATCGACTATATCATAACATTAGTTGTAATCTCTATATATATAATAAAGTTTCCGTAGTGCTTTTCAACACACACGGTTAAACCTAAATGTCTCTTAGTCTCTTCTAATTCAATATGGTATCTAAAGCCTACTAAGAGGCAATTCTTCGTCGTGTTTTACCCGGTTGACCCATTGTCTTTCGGTGACAATTTTTTTTTTTTTTGCAAACCGTGTCATCACTCTGGTTTGCCTCCCACTTTCCAAAATTCTCCGGTAACCATCGGACTGCTGTCGCCATCCGCCGCTACAAATTCCGGCGACCTTCCAGTAAACTAACCTAGCGGCAAAAGCACCTCCTTCGATCCGGCCGATTCCAACGATTTTAACACCACCGCACTCGCCACCATATAACTTTTCCAAATCCGATACTCATGGCTACTCCTCAGAACTTTACGCCAAACTACGATGATTTCCTCAAGTGGTATCTGAATTATCAGAACTCAGATTCTACTGCTTCGGTTGCACACACTGGTAATTCATCTGTTTGTTTCTCTCAATCATCTTCTCTTGGACCTTGGATCCTTGATTCTGGTGCGTCTGATCATGTTACTGGTAATAACAATCTTTTCTCTTCCCTCTTTACCTCTGGTTTCTTACCTACAATAACTTCTGTCAATGGTTCTCAAACCTGATCCAAAGGAATTGGTACTGTTCAAATTCTACATTCTCTCTTTGTTACTTTTGTTCTCTATGTACCTAATTGTCCATTTAATTTACTTTCAGCCAGTCGTTTAACTCGTTCTCTTGATTGTATTGTCACATTCACTAATAGTAATGTCACCCTGCAGGATCGGAGTTCAGGACGGACAATTGGCGTCGGATGTGAGTCTCAAGGCCTTTATTACCTCTCAGTGTCATCTCAGACATGCTCAGCCAAAGATTCTCCACTCACAATCCATGCTCAGTTAGGTCATCCTAGTCTTCCCAAATTACAGAAGTTGGTGTCATGTTTATCGAAAGTATCTAATTTACATTGTGAGTCGTGTCAGTTAGGGAAACACACTCGTAGTCAATTTCTCAATCGAGTCAATAAACGAGTTTCGTCCCCTTTTGTTTTAGTTCACTCCGATGTTTGGGGTCCCTCACGTACTATCTCTACTCTTGAGTCTAGGTATTTTGTCACATTTATTGATGATTTTTCACGCTGCACGTGGTTTTTTTTAATGAAAAATATATCATAATTATTTTCTATTTTTGAAAAATTTTATAAAGAAATAAAAACTCAGTTTGGTGTGTCTATTCGTACCTTAAAAAGTGATAATGCTCGTGAATATTTATCCCAACAATATTGAGAGATTTGACCATTCTATCAAGGTTTGAATTCAAGGAGGTCACTTCACTTTCCAGATTAGAAATAGTTTTTAAATGCTCTTCCCTTTCTGCCTTCAGCTGAGTTATGAGGACTTTCTGTTTCTCCCCTTCAAGGCACACTTCTGCACTTCTGAGACATAGTTCTTTGTATGAAGCAGCTAACTTGTCAAAGGTTAGTTCCCCATCACTAGATTCTTCATCAGATACATATTTCCCTGTCAATGCTTTAACATACTTGGCAGATTCTTCAAGATCACTCTCTAAGTCCTCTTCAGACCAAGTAATAGATAGATTTTTCTTCTGTTTCTTAAGATATGTAGGACATTCAGCTCTAATGTGACCAACGCCTTCACATTCATGACATTGTACTCTCTTCCCTTGAGTGGATTTTTCTTCAGCCCTTTTTCTTCCAAACTCATTTGACTTATGGATGTCAGATGAGATGTTCTTGACATTTGATCTTTGGTTCCTATCCATTCTTTTTATCACTTTGTTAAACTGTCTTCCAAGCATAGCTAAGGCATTTGATATTCCTCCATCTGTATCCAGATCACAGTCTTCCTCTTCATCTTCAGTATTTGATACAAAGGCTATGCTTTTGTTCTTCTTTTCAGATCTTTCATTGATGCTTAATTCAAATGTCAGAAGGGATCCAACAAGTTCATTCACTTTCATTTTGTCAATTTCTTGAGCTTCTTCTATAGCAGTCACTTTCATATCAAATCTCTTGGGAAGAGACCTGAGCATCTTTCTCACCAATTTGTCTTCAGGAATTTTCTCTCCTAAAACATTGGATGCATTAGCAATTTCAAGAATGTTCATATGGAAGTCATTAATACTTTCATCATCCTTCATTCTCAAATTCTCAAATTTTGTGGTGAGCAACTGAAGTCTTGACATCTTAATTTTGGATGTGCCTTCATGAGTAGATTGAAGAAATCCCCATGCATCCTTAGCTACTTCACATGAGTTCACTAATCTGAAAATGTTCTTGTCAATTCCATTGAATATAGCATTCAAGGATTTAGAATTTCCAAGAGCAATTTCATCTTCTTCTTTAGACCAATCTTCTTCTGGTTTTAACTCAGAAGTAGGTTCTCCATTTTCTCTTAATTTAACAGGGTGTTCCCATCCTTTTAAAATAGCTTTCCAAGCCCTGTTGTCCAAAGACTTTAAAAAGGAAACCATACGTAGTTTCCAGTAGTCATAATTACTTCCATCCAGAATGGGTGGTCTGTTCACAAATCCTCCTTCCTTGTCCATAGTACCAGAAAGTATCTTCCCTGGATCTCATCCAGATAAAGAGCAGGATGCCCGCTCTAATACCAATTGAAATTCTGGTATCAGATATGTGATATCGAATGATATGTCACGACACAAATATCTGAGGAACAAAGTAAAGTGCAACAATAATAAAAGCAGTAAAAACACAAGGGATTGTTAACCCAGTTCAGTGTACAGCAACACCTACTCTGAGGGCTACCAAGCCAGGGACAAATCCACTAAATAGTATCAATTCATAGACCCTCAGTAAACAACCAGTTTACAATCTAATCACTTAATCACTACTTGTGATATACTTCTACCTAAGACTCGCCTAGGTATGAGGTCCTTCTCAAATCCCTTCAATCACTTACAGTGAAGAAACAACAGAAATAATAAGTTTAAAAACTTCAATCATTCAATGCTTAAAAGCTTATGAATGATACACAATTAACAATCCAAATAACAACACAAGTATTAAATCAATACTAGAGTGTTTGACAATTAAAAGACTTAGACTTCTAAAACATAAAAAAAGTATTCTTCTTCAAAAGTTGTAATTTTCTGAATAAGGAAGCAGGTACTTATATATGTGCAGCAGTGGGCTTGGACTGAAAAACAAATATTCAAATCTTTTGAATATTTCCATGAAAGCAGACCAAGATATAATCCATAAAGATAATTCAAATAGAAAAATATTCCTCCATATTTTTCGCAACCTATGAGTCACAAATCCTGAATTATAGCGCGCAGGAAATCAGGAAACAAAAAACACGAACTGGGCGGAGTTCAGGAGGCTGTTTTGACATCATTCAAAACAGTTTGTTTCAAATGTTAAGACATTTAACAAAACATTATCAAGTCATTGTTTTATCAAAATTGTTGCCGACAAACACTTACACATAACTTTATAGATATATGTGCACTTAACACTTTTTGTAGTGCAATTATAATTATTATAATTATAATTATATTATAATAATTAATTAACTATAAATAGTTTTTTTTTTTCTTTCTGGTCTGTTATGAAGTTACTTGAGTTTATGTGTTATAACTCAATTTTTAACAACCTTGGTAAGCAGGTTCTTTAATAACTTTTAAAAAGATGAGATCAATAAAAAAAGCCTATAAGCTTTTTTGGGTAATCTTGTTTTTTTCCTATGACGTCGGATATGTGTTGGGTTTGCACGACCTGATTGATTGAACACGCCTAAAAGAGCAAAACCCAAGTTCTGTCAGTGTAGTGAATCTCTTTGTCTTTTGCATCACAACTCTCTGTCAATCTCTAGTGACTATCTGTAACACTTATACCTCTGTTTCTGTAGCAAGTCTCAGCAGAGAAGAATACCAAAAAGTGCAGTGAAGTATATGTATGGATGGTTGCGAAAAAGTTCACGCAATGGTTAAGTTGAAGTAGTTAAGACCGTGTAGTGGTGAGTCAAGATTTGAGGTTAGTTATCCTCTAGATGAGGAATTTTGATACAATGTGAAAAACAGGGAGAAATAAATAGAGGTACAAGTGAGTCTAAACATAGACATACCTGAACAAAAATAGCACCCCTTTCATAAGCTAATCGGTTTACAAGCCTCTTTGTTCTTTCACCGCACAAGTCACATGTAAATTGTACTAGCAAACTTCTTCTGGGAAGATTTAATTGAATAGTAGCATCCTACATATGCCAAAGCATAATAGTTTAGTGAGATCAGAAAAAACTGGAAACCCTAAAGAGGCAAAGCAAAAGAGAAAGATAGAGAGATTAACCGGTTCAGAATTGTGTGATTCTTGGGTTACAGAATCATCATCGCCCAGCAATCCATGTAATCGGGATGGAAGCCTTTGTGCGGCAACACGGAATCTTGACCTCAAACAAGGACGATTTGGTTGCTCATTACTGTTACTGTTAATCAAGCGGAGGGACGCATTACTGTTACTAGAAATCAAACGGACGGAAACGTTAGGTTGTCGATTTGGGGTACACAGACAACTCAAAACTGTTGCAAAATTGTACACACCCATCGACGACTCAATTATCATTTTGCCCTTTCCCACTCCTCTATCAATTTAAACAAACAAAACTTTTTTCAATTCAAAACCAAATTTTAAAACTAATACTGTTCTCTCTTTTTTTTTTCGTTAAAACCTCATATTATCAATTTTCCACCAAAAATGTGGATATTTTGAAGTTCAAACGTTAATTTTTAAAATACGTGAATTTCTAATAATTATCCATTTATTTCTAACAAATATAAGCTAAATCATAAATAAATAAATAAATAAATAAAAAGTTAATTTAAAGTTTCATTGTAAGGTAAGAAATACATTGGCAATATTTTCCAAGAACAAATGGATAATAATGTTTCTCGTCCAAAGCACTCGTCATTTGAAACAGACCCATATGATTGGGCTAGTCTCCTGCTTGCGAGAATATAGAGAATGACGTGTCTAAACTCAGTAACGATATGAGAGGCAATAAAAAATGGAGGGCATGTCCCCTAGAAGAATAAGAGAACAACCTCTCATTTCTCACACTTTTGAGAGTTAGGGGTGTCGCTACTTAAGTCTAGGATATAGGCCAAAAAGACTTATAAAATACCTCAAGTTTAAAGTTGAGATGAACATTAAATTTACTCGTAACACACTAATATACATAGTTTCTCATTATTTTGCACGAGTTTTCTCTAACATCACAATAATCTTAAAAATCTTTGATCGTCTTACTACACAAGGAGTTGTTACGTATTGTATTTTTAGCAAGTGTAATTTGCGTCTACCGTGGAATATCGGTAAAACTTGCCTAGGTCACACCCATCACCAAACAATCAATGTAAAGTATCTTGTAGTTGATGTATTGTCCCTATACAACACCATATTGGGGCAACCCACCCTCAACCTATGGGGTGATCATGTCCATCCTTCATTTGAGCTTGAAATAAAACTACGTGACGAGCAAATTATAGTGGTCCAAGGGGACCAGAAGGTCGCCCATTAATGTTATCAAAACAACCTGGAAATGAGAAGGGAGTGTATCAGACATTGCCCTTCATTCAGACGCACAGGACGTAAATGCTACAAGTTGGGATCCTAGATTGGAGGAAATTAATGAAAGGTTCACCCCCACAAAAGACCTAAAAGATGTTTGTATTGGCCTCTTGGACTATCAAATCACAAAGCTAGGCACCTCCTTATTTGATTTTGAGAAGGAGGAGTTGGTCTCTCTATTGAGGAGGAATGTATACATGTTCGCTTGGGCACCCTCTAATATGCTAGGGATAAATACAAGAGTGATCTGCCATCGCCTCATCATTGATTCCACAGTGAAACCAATATATCAGAGGAAGCTCAAGGTGGGCGATGACAAGAAACAACCATTGATGAAGAAATTCGGAAGATAAGAAGCGTTGACTTTATAACTGAGGTTAATTACCCATCTTGGTTGGCCAACGTAGTCTTGGTATGGAAGTCATCAACAAATGGTGCATATGTGTCAACTTCACCGACCTTAATGTTGTATGCCTTTAGATCCATATCCCCTACCCAATATAGATTGCATGATTAACGAGTCATATGGTTACAAAATGTTGAGTTTCAGGACCCCATATTCTGCCTATAATCAGATAAAGATGGATCTAGTAGATGCGCCTAAGATAACATTCATGCCTAATCACATTAACTACTATTACAATTTCATGCCCTTCAGACTAAAGAATATAGACATCGGCTATCAAAGGTTCAAGGATGTTGTATTCTCAAAGTAAATAGTGCCTAACCTGAAAGTCAATATCGGTGATTTGGCAATAAAGACATCAAAAAGGAATAGTTAAATTGCAGAACTAGAAGACATCTTAGAATCAATAAGGAGCTCCTTCGGCATATAGGCAGGTAAGTATATGGATTTTATATTAACTAAGATGAGTATAGAGGCGGCCCGAGATAAATGTCAATCCATCATCAATATGAGAAGCACTTCCAATCAAGTATCCCTAATCAGGTCGACTACACACCTAGCCTTGCCTTGTTCTCTTCTTCATTGAATTGAGAATATCGGCACATTGGTGTGTCTATTTTAACAAGTAACATGGTGTCAATACATATACCATTATGACCGGAGTGTCTCTTGTGGTTAAATAAGGGTGGTATTGATATGACAATAATACTTTGTGAAGTTGTTCATCCCAGAGTCCTTTGGCTTGATCCAACTTTTTATTTATCCCTTATCGTATTACTTCATTTGCTGACTCAACCCGTCAATTTACATATGGAAGAACAATAGAGATGAACTTTATCTCTACTATGAGGTTGTGACTGAAATCGTCCAAAGTGGAGCTGACGGATTAAGGTTTGGAATTATTCAAGACTTTTTATTTAGAACTTTTGTATCTTAAATGAATCTTATCCTTTGGATCTGAACATCTCAAAACCTTATTGTTGTACCCCAAAATTTTCCCTCCCATATTTCTCAAAACATTTCAAGAAAGATACTCAAGTTGCTCAAGGAAGTCCAAGGGTTGACCAGACAAGCTCTCTCCTAAAAAAGTCTACCTCAAAATTAGGGTTTCATATTGCATCAAGATACTTGAGTCCAAGGTATCCCAAATGCTCACCATTGTCCTAACATGTTCTCAAGATCATCCATGTCAAGTTTCAAGCCTTGCAGAGGAAGTTTGCTCAGTCAATTGCTCAAAGGCCTGAAAATCGACTATGCTAGGGCAAAAGTCAAATGTGGCCTACATACAGTCAAACTTCAAGATTTTTTATCAACATCCTCATTTTGAAGTACATTTAATCATTTTATCAAGGTTTGATCATGATTCATCAAGGATTGCTCATAATTCATCAAGAATCAAAAGTTGTTAAATTAGGGTTTTGTAGGAAAAGTCAACTCAACTTTGACCAAGCATAACTTTCTCATACTTTATGAGAAATGACCCATCCAAATCTAATTTTGAAGAGGATGAAATTCTCTAAAATTCATCTTCATCTCCCAAGTTCAAAATATGCATTCACAAGAAGTTACGAATTTGGACATTATAGGTCATTTTGAAAAGTTAACAAAAACACATTTTTTGTCAAAGCCTCATACATGAGAATGGAATATAAAATTGAGATGAGACCAAAAGGGTTGCTTATAGGACATCTCAAGATTTCCAAAAAGTCCAAGAACACCTTCAAAGAGTCAAAATTGAGGAAGTTATGCATTGGTGAAGTTGACCTTTTTTGCAAAATTGCCAAAAGTCAACTATGTCTAAAAATGCAATTTTTGCTAAATGGGCCCAATCTTTTACACTTGTTTTGAGTTGGCAACATGGTCCACGAGCCCTAGCCTTTGCCACTTGTCATTTTCATGTTTTTATTATTTTTTTGATTTTTATTTGAATTAAATTAATTTAAATCAAAACAAATCATAGAAAATCCAAAATATTGAAAACTCAAGATTTTTTACATGATTCAGGTCTTAAATTCCAGCTAGCATGAGATCAAATTCGTGTAAAGGCATGGGGTGCACAAAAAGATTAGATTAGGCCTATTTTTGGAAGGTTATTCAAAGGAATCAAATCAAAAATCAAATGCAATGATGGAAGAAGATTGAGCATATTCTTTCAACCCTAATTCATTACTCAGTACATAAGGATGATATGCAGACCTAAAGCAAGGCTAGAAAGAGGCGCAACATCAAGAACAAAACTTGGAAAAAACAAGAAAAAGTGTTGAATTGGATTCCTAGTTGCAGGCAATTTCAAGGCCTTCTAACTATCCCAATCGATTCCTGGGAGTGTAGGCAAGTGAAAGCAATCCAGAACAAGCATTTTCAGGCCTTGAAACTCACTGTAAGTCAGCCACGATCTTGGGCTTTTCTTGAATTCGAATTTCATGATTTAGACATTGATGGCACGAATTAATCATATATTCATGATCCTTAGAACATTTGCAAGCTTTCTGTAATCTTTAATTGTATTTTCATGGCTTGTATGAGGTTTCACCATTATTAGGGTTTGTAGCTTCGATTTGGGAATTCTGTGTGCAGGCAAAATTAGGCCATGAAAGGGCCACCATTATACTCAGAAGGTCCAGACGAATTGATTGGTGGCCCTAGTTTTTATTTATCTTGCTCATGGTTGATTTTAAGAGAACGCAGGTTTTTAGCTACGGAGAGTGTCTGTTGGTAAAGGTCTGTTGTCTAAAACAACAGATCCTTGGAGAAGACGAAGACGTGGCGAACAACCATTCGCCTATTTGAAAAAAACGCACGCTGAATTGATATATATTGCCTTTTTAATATTTAATTATTATTTTGTATTATTATAACAACTAACACAAATGGCCCAGTGGTAGCCAAGCAAGCGTTAAGGCGTTGAAGAGCTTGAGGTAAGGGGTTTGACCCCTGCCTCCAACGTTTGCATTTTTCTTGATTTCTTTCTACAGATCCCATGTTCCACAAAGACCAAGGACTACCATACGTCTTCATAATCCAACTGGCCAAGTGTCTTGAGATCCAGATCTGATGGCTATCAACGAAGGAGCACCAAACGCCTAGTTAAACGCGTTGCATGGGATCTCAAAAAGTCAAAACGGACCTCCTTGTTTTGGGCCCAGATTTGGATATTTGCACCCCCCCCCCCAATTGCTATTCTCAGGCCCAATAAATCTTTCCTTTTTCTTTTATATTTTATTTCATTTAATTTATTTATTTGTTTTACTAACAAATTTAATTTTTTAACCAAACAAAAAAATCACAAAAATATTGTTTTTCACCAATTAGGTTTTAGATTTTATTTTTTTATCAAAATTAATTAATTTAATTAGGTTATTTAATTCTTAGATAACTTTGATTATTTTGTAAATAATTAAAATAATTAGAATAATTAGGTTTTTGTTTATAATTTAATTATATTTTCTTTTTCTTAAAATAACAAAACACAAAAATAGGCCATTTATTTATTTTCATTAATTAGTTTAATTAGCTAATTAATTTAATACTTAATTTAAAACCTAATTATTTTCTTTAAAAAATATTTAAAACAAAAAAAAACATTTTT